TTCAGAGCATCTATAAAAAATGTCACTCACCCTTGCAGCGATGACATTCATATCATTCAGAGAGGTCGATAAACGTGACATATCTACGTACTTTACCACTGTTTGCTCGATCTGGAATTTCTTATGATTACTATTCAACTGAAAATCGCGCACGGTAAGAGTTTCGACGAGTAACTGACGGTTATTAGTACGTGCAGTACAAATCCACGATGTTTGGCCAAACCACGAGATAACAGAACGAAACACAGTTCCTCTGCTGCCATTCTACAAATAAATATTTGGTTTTCTAAAAAAATGCGCCAAAAAAATGCCCTAGTTCCTCGCACTATCACAAACTAGAAACACTAAGACTATGCGGTCAGATGGAGTGGGAATCCGTTAAACCAATTTTTCTTGGTTACATTTGCGTCGACATCGAGCAGATGGCAGATACTAACCGACGGTATGCAGATTAGTATTGAAAGGCCAGGCATAACTGACCCGCACAATGCTAGTAACAACACTAATATTATATTTCCGAACCGATTGCTCCAATAGTTTTCGTACTCATAGCAAATATGTTTCTAACTTTTGTCTTTTTTAATAAGGATTAAATTACTCAAATTACCGTTGAGTTGTAGAGAAAAACGAAAACACCAATTCCGATCTCGACAAGAATCAGCAGAATTGCGGTAATGATAAATAAAATCAACACTGCACGATTCGCAGATACAGCCGCGCATGTGCCCAGCAGACCAATCAGTGCAGCCGCTAGTCCACAGCCACAGAGAACCCAGAATGATACCATTAACTGAAAACGCAAACAAATTCGAACTCTGTCTGAGCTAATTGTTTCACATTATTCCTGCGACCCAAACTGCAACGCACCAGGCTTGCCGGTGCAGTCATGCGTTTTTACGTAGTTTCACTTTGCAGACAGACTGCTTGCACTGTTGGAGAGTAACTGCAATGCTGCCATATGATCATCTCGTGCGCCTGTACTTATACGACTCGTACCTAGGCAGTAGCACGTCCTACGCTTGGTGGCCCCCACATGAACAGAAAGCATTCTTGGAAAAATACTGCTTCCTCCTCATTTTGGTTACACTTGCATAACCAACCGCGTAAAAAAAAATAAACATTCACTTGGAATACCCATGGGTACTTAAAGCTTAAAATGAATTATTTCGTCACATGTGGGTAAAGAATATCGTCGTGAAATTTTAACTCACTAACATGTCTGGTTAATGAAGTCGCTTTTTGTTACTCGATATATTTAATGTAACATATCTTGCGGCACAGGCGTATGCCATCTTAAGCCAGTATGTTAATTTATGGAAAAAA